CATTCGGCTTCGTGACGATGACGCGCCACCAATCCATGGCGGGTCCTCGCAGCAGCGAGACGGCGTAACGAATCTTTGCCATATCCTCCGAGATGTAGTTGGCTTCGAAGAAAACGTTCATCGTGAACAACCACGCCTAAACGGTAGGGCCACCCCGTTGACTCGGGTCAAAGAATGGCGGACGCTGCAGCTTCAGCGACATCGGTGGCGGCAGTGCCGAATCGTTGATCGGTGCCGAGATCGTAACACGAGGCTGGTTCTTGGCCGCATTCGTCGCTTCAGGGTGTGTCGTGCAATGGTCGTCGTCTCCGTCGTGGCGGACGACGCCATCACTGGCCACGCTCGCGGGTTGCCCCACACTTCTGTGCTGTGATGCTTTAGGTGCGGGCTGTACCGGAGTGCCAGGTGCTTGTGATTGTGCTTGTTATGCTCGTGCGACGTCATTCTGTAGGGAGATGCGTTCCGCCGTCAGCGCCGCGATTTCTTCAGAATTTTCATGCAGTTGTCGCAGCAGCTCGTTCAAGCGGTCCTTCGTGATTGTCATGACGTCGATATGTTTGGCCATTACGAAGGGCGTCGACTCAGCTTAATCTAGGCGCAGTTGTGGCTGCACGCGTTTACGAGAGAACGCGAGGACAGCGGCTCTTATGGGCTAAGGTGCGTGATTCCCTTCGATTGAAAAATCAAAAGTAGATTTCCTGGGGTGCGGAGATGCGCGGTCCGAAAGAAAGAAGCTCTGAATACCAAGTGATATGGATGCAAAGAATCAAGGTAGCGAGGACTGCACTGAGTGTCAAATGTGTACAATATGTGAGCGAAGGCATAAGCGAACATTTATACGCGAAACATGCAAACGGTAATGCGGTGCGTGCGAGCTAGCTAGTGCTAGGCTGGCATCGAGGCTCGGGCTAGTCCCAAAGCGTAGGCCGACACGGCCGTGCCACCGGTGCATGGTTTGGTGAAACAGTGTGCGCGAAGTTGGCGAATCCCCGTTAGCAGTAATGGGCGAACAACGACTGCTGCTATACGCGATGTTGTAGGTCGCGGTAAGGAATGTCGAGAAAATTCCTTACAATACGGTACAATATTCTCCACAATGATAGTGTATAGGTTGGAATGTAAAAGGATGCGCTGTACCTATTGAAACGAGATCTGCACCATCGCACCATGCCCCGAGCCGCGATGCCATTTTGTTCCCACGAAAAGCCATCGGAGTCGCGTCTATATCAAGAATGAAGACTCTCTCAGGCACGAAGGCTGAATGTGCGAATTTCGGTGCAGTGATCACAAGGATAATGGCTCGAGTAGCCTGTCATAGGGTTGAGTTCCATGAATTTGTCGCGTAATGTCGGACATTTGTAATTCACGCAGGACACCCACTATGGGATAATGTCGGAGATTTGAGGCGTGTGATGAATTTGGACGTTTTTGTCGGCCCCGAGTCGCGTTTTGCAAGGTGCCAGGCTTCTTGATACGTCTCTCGTATCGGCCAGTCTTCTCGATCCTTGTATATAAATTCGCACAGCCCACATTGTCTAAAGCATCTTAGTCTAGCGTGTGATCTCGTCACCAATCGTTTCTAGCTTGCCTCCTACTACAAAACACCATTTTCTTTGAAGTTTCCGTTTTGCATCCTCACTGCCTGCACCCAGTCATGGCTCGCCTCGCAATGGGCGTCTTACCTCTTCTTCTGTTGGCTTCCTCACTCCTCTCTGCGGCGCACGCTGCGGAAATGAAACCTCGCAAAGACCTCGCCGGCCCCAGCGGATCCAACAATGAGTTCATTGGCAATCACGAACCTGTCACTCCCGCCGCCGTCATCACACCCCGCCCCAACGACCCCGAGCCTGTGATCCAGATTCCCGAGCCTGTTACTTCGGCGAGCGACCCCGTCGCCACTCCAAACCCGGCGTCGGCCCCTCAAGACGTCTTCACTGACGATCCTTTCGGAACCTCTGGCCCGTCCGTCTCGAACCCTGGCCCATCGTTCGATCCCAACGACCCTCTGGGCGGCGGGAACCCTCTCGCGGGTGACGACTCCAAGACTGGTGTTCAGCGGACAAGCGAGGCGGACTCTAGCGCGTATGCTGGTACCGTGCAACCCAACCAGGTCAGTTCGGGGATCCCGATTACTCCCAATATTCCAGACAACAACGCGACCCCGGTTTCTCCCGGTACTCCTGACAACGGCTCGATCCCGAATTTCCCCGATATCCCAGACAACGGCACAGCCCCGATCTTTCCCAGTACTCCAGACAACGTCGCTGAAACTGGCGTCGCGCAAAATTCCTCCTGCGACCCGTCCGACTTGGACGGTTACACGTCGTCGTATCAAATCACCAAATACGGCCACATTCTGCACTGGGCCGTCGTCTCCCCAACGGTCGTCAAGATCGCGTTCGAGGCGAAGCACGGCAGCGGCGCGGCGGCGGGATGGGTGTCCATCGGGTTCTCCAAGGACGGCAAGATGAAGAAAGCTGACGCAATCATCGGTAACCAGCCGGACACGCCCATCGCGGCCTATTCGATCAAGGGATACGACGCGGATTCCATTGAGATTAACAAGGACCTGTGGATTGGCGACGACGCGAGTCTCCTATCCAAGACCAACGGCAGCCTCATCATGAAGTAAGCCCTTCCACACCTCGCCACCCAGAGCAGTGAGCACCAAACGTTCCTCGTTTCCCCCCTATTCCTTTCCGTCTTCGCTGCCGAAGCTCAAGCGTGAATGCCGAAGCTCACTCGTTTCACGCTTTTCCGGATATGTTTTTTTCCAGCAACACACTTTCAGCAACACACTTTACGTTCTACGCCTGGTTGACGCTTTCAGGTTCCAGAGGAGAACCACGGACGGCGTTGCGCCCATCTCCACGACGGGCAACGTCACCGTCATCTGGGCGTTCTCCGCCGACAAAACCAAGCCGCTCGCCTTCCACGGCGACAAGAGGCGGTACGCAAGAAGTCCCCAAATCCAACCCAATCATTATTATTCAATAAGCCCTTTTTTCGCTCCTTCGCGTTTTCCTTTCGGCTCATCTCGCGTTTCTTTTTGCGTTTTCTTCACGCAGTGGCTCTTTCCAAGTTGACTTTTCATGCAATGGTGGCGGCGGCGGCGTGGCGGCGCAACAAACGGTGCCGGTGGTGGCGGCGCAGGGCGGGAATGTGACGGTGGGGTCGGCATGCACCCAGTCGACGCTAAGCGAGTTCGACCACCAAGCGGATCTCTACGACGGAAAGTAAGCGTTTTTAATTGTAACGTGCCGTACTATTAGCGATGTATTACCATCACGCATAAGTGCTAACAACATCACCATGACCTGAGGCACATGTTCTTTCTTGTTTTTGCACGTGAATGCACCCTAATGCTGCTTGCTTTCTTCTTTACGTCCTCCCATCGCTTGTGATTCCTCTCGCCACTGGCAGGATTCTGCTGCACTGGAAGGTTCTGGCCGGCCCCGTATTCCAGATGGCTTTCGAGGCGAAGCGCCTCAGCGGCGCGGAGAACAGCTGGATTTCCGTCGGCTGGTCGAACAACGGAGCCATGGCGCCTGCTGACGCCGTTGTTGGTAACACACCCGGGATCAAGGCGTACCGACTTGATGGTTACAAGATGGCTGAGCTCGTCAACGACACATTTTCGCTCGGACCGAACCCGTCTGTCACCACCTCGGCTTCTGGATCCACAATTCTGAAGTAAGTGAATTCACCACTGTCCTCTTATACCCGATATTGGGTAGGCTTTCTTACATTATCAGCCCGATTCCAAATGCGCGCGTCTAAGCTCCTGTCGGTTCGCTACTCGTTTTTACAGGTTTTCCCGCCGGAACGGGGATGGCGGCACGGTTCCGATCAATCTGAGTGGTGAGACGTACGTCATCTGGGCCTTCTCCCGCGGCATGCTCGAGGCGTTCGGCTACCACGATTACAATAGGTGCGCTACTACCATGGCTGGAAGAATGTTGTCCTGTACTGCAGTTCATATAGCGAATTTAAGATGATGCCTGTGCTGTCTTCGCGCGACAAACTGTTGTGACTATACTGACCGTGCTGGTAACTTTGCCTTTTCTTCGCAGAGGTCTCGCAATGGTTGATTTCCTCTGCAACATTGCCCCCACCACCCTGATGCGACCTGGCGAAAATGTTGCCAACATCCCGGGTGCCGATGTGGAGGAAGATGACAACGCGGGTCTGTCCCCTGCCGAGCGCGAGGACGAGGAGGCCCGCAGGGAGCGCCGGACAGCGCGCCGAGCCAATCGCGGGGCGATTTTCCGTTCATGGGCTGATGCTATGTTTGGCCTCCCCAGCCCCGTCCGATCGTCCAACCCATCATCGCCATACCCCTAAATACTCGTCAAGCCGCGCCAAGTATTTTCACACGGCGGAATTAGCAGAATATTATATAGATGGTAGGAGGTAGAAGAATCAACTTTTGTATACCTAGGCTGCAATTATTCTTTTTGTGGATGGCTTTACCACAGCCATTCCGCAAACATAGTGCTTATTGTAGTTTAATGGAATTTATAAGGCCTGGGACTTGATCCTAGGACATGGTTTAGGACGTTTTGCATTCTAGGATATGGTATCCCTTGTTTTATACACAGAATCCAACTGTTTTGCAATGCAATTTCCGAAGGGATGAGGATCAGATGAAGCACTGTTGTCGCCCATTCTCAATTCCCTTCTCTGCTTTTTTGTGAGGTGAAGGTGTACCCGTTAACCTTGAAGGTTTATTACACGTAGGGAGGCAATATGATGATATCATGATAGCATGGGTAATACACGGCAACAAATCACTAAAAGCAGGGCATGGCATCACAACCATCTTTTGCGCTGTGTGAGACTTGTCCAACATATTGTCCCAACAGCTCACACAACTCCAAAAGATGCCTGTGGTCCGGCCGAGCTGGCGCCCTCTCCCCTAACCACCTCTTTTTCTACTCTAGGCACATGCTCCATTGTGCACTGTACAGTGTACACTGAACAGTGTACAGTGTACACGACTACTTGCGGAAGCCGAAGAGCGAGCCAAGCCAAGCGAGGAGCTGCGAAAGAAACGCGCTCCCTGCACCGGAACCACCCTCCCCGAAGCCATCATCATCATCACCGTCATGATCATCACCCCCCTCATGGTCATCATCGTCATCATCATCATCATCATCGCCCCCACCGCCGCCGCCAGTGGATGGGGCAGTGGCACAGGAGAAGTCCACAGACATCCGCCCACTGAGAGAGAGAGGAAAGGAGAGGGAGATAGAGGCAAGTCGGAAAATTGAGGGTAGGTTGGTGAGATGAAGGGGAGCACACAGGTAGTGCTTGCAGAAAAGGGCAGGGACGAAGGCACAAGTCCATCGAGAGACGTGCAGAGAGGGAAAGAGATGAAAAAAGAGGTACAGAAATAGAAGGGGAGGCAGAGGGAGACTCACTCGGCGCCCCCGTGGAAAGCAAGGGTCTTGGAGTTAGAGTTGGAGTGCGCCCAGATGAGCCGACTGACGCCGCTCATCTTCATGCCTTGAGACCCTGTGTTGGCCGTGCGCGAGAACCTGGTTGGTCCAAAGCAAAACCAAGGGAAGGCATTCAGTTTACTGGGGTTGAGAAATCGCTCTATGCAGTGGGTAGGGGGAAACTGACAGCAGTTGGGCGAGCGGATGAAAGTGGAGACTGACTGACAGAATAACAGAATGGCGAGCAGGCAGAAAGGGACAGCAGCTGATGCGATGGCACGACCTCGGATCAATTCCCCACTCACTGGATCACTGTGGACCCTGTAGCAGACGTCACAGTCCCAGCGCTGCTGCCAATGCTAAACGAGGCGCCTTGCAACGAGGACATGGTGTAGCCAGTGATACGGTACGGGCTCACAACTCCACCCGCCCTGTTGCCGATGACTGCGTCGGAGGGAGCCATATCACCGCTGTTGGCCCAACCGAGGGCGAACCAGCCGTTGCTGGCGCCGCTGCTGCTCTTGAGCTCCACGGCCATGTCCAGCTGCGAGGCGGATGCTCGCTTCCAGTGCAGCAGCACGCTGGGGAATGGAGCGGAGGAGAGGGGGAAAGGAACGAGAGAGGGGAATGAGAACAAACTGCAGAAGAAGTGATCCATGCAGGAGCATTAGCAGTGGTGGTTGCAAAGGCAGTGGCAGTAGCAGACGCAGGTGCATACCCGGATTTAATCTGCGCCTGGTAGGAGTAGCCACAGAGGGTGGACGCAGGGCATGCCGTGCCGCTCACGCCTGTGTTGCCGGTGCACGTGCCTGCTCCGGAACCCGAGCCTGTTCCCGAGCCTGACCCGCCTGACCCCGAGGCCGTGCCGTCGCAAGAGAAATCAACGGTCTTGACTCCTCTGAAGGGTCGGAAACAGGGCAGGACGAGGGAAAGGAGAATTGATACAGTCCAGAATTGTGAATAAGGAAAACGGGTGGGTTGAAGCTACAGAAAACGTCTACACCAGTAACGAGGTGAGAGCCATTCCAAATGAGAGAGAGCGCGAGGCGTTACCTGTGCGAGCCGCCGTGGTTGGCGACTGTCTTCGAGCCGCCGGACGAGTAAGCCCACACGAGCTTGTTGCTCCCCGCCACGTTCACCGGCACGAGCCCGTTCCCCGACGCGCGCGTGAACTTCACAATCGTGCTCCCGCCCGACGAAGTGACGCTCGTGCCGGTGATGGCGAAGCGCGTTGTGGTAACCACATTCGAGTAGCTGGATATCGCGTACGTGCCGACGCCGCTGGCCGTTGCGAGGTTCCCGATGACGGCGTCGGAGTTGAACATGCCGCCGTTGGTCCACGCCACCGAGAACCACCCGCCCGCCGCGCCGCTCGTTGACTTGGCCTCGAGAGCGAGGTCGATCGTTGACCCCGTTGACGTCTTCCAGTGGAGGATGAGCCTGGGAGAGAAAAAAACGCGTCCCGGAGATAGTGAAGGATTTGAGGCGAAGTCATATTTTTTCGGAGAAAACGGAAAAACAAACGTGAAATGCAGGGCATGACGAGCCCCCAGAAACGCTTTTGCACGGCTAATATCGAGGATTGTGTTCCAAGTCTCGATATAGTGCTCACCCGTTGCCTGAGAGGTCCACGGAGCTCGTGTAGCCCGCGAGAGTCGACGCCTGGCACGTGCCCGTGGCGGCAGGCGTCACCAATGTCTTCGCCGCCGCTACAGCTGCTCCGGTGACGACTGTAGCAGAGGCGGCTCTGCCTGTAGCCGCAGCAGCGCCAGTGGTTGTCGGGGGCTTGAGCGAGAATCTCTTGCGCCACAGGTTGAATCGGTTGAGGAGGCCTTGGGATTTCCGCGGAGATGGAGTTGGGTGATCGCCCGCGGAGCCAGCGGCGGCCGGCGCGGCGGCGGCGCCGCCTGAAATTACAGCGACGATGAGGAGGAGCGTGACGCACACGCGCTCGATTGTTAAAACACGCGGTTCGCGTTCTCTGGTGGGAGCCATGGCTTGAAACGACGGGAGGTTGAGCTTGCGAAGTGAGTGAGTGCGGTGGGGTTGAGTTAGCGGTAAGCTGAGCGGACGACACGTGGCGGTGCGGATAGAAAGGCGGTAGAGGGAGTTGGTCTGGTGGTGGGCGATGGTGGAGTCCACTACTGGCGGAGACTATTCGTAAATCTTGCGGTAGGTTGGCTTTATGGGAGGGAGATTTGCACATACGTAGGAAAAGCAGCAGTAATTGGGGAAGTGAGGGGAGGGGGGAAGGAAGGGGAGGGGGGAAGGAAGGTGGTGGTGTTAGTTTGGTTGGATGCCGAGGGGAATGAAAGGGATTGGGCAGGTCTGGGCTATGGTAGAGTGGTTTGGAGAGAAGTTGAGCTAGTTGGAGTGCGATTGAGTGTTGTTTAGTGAAGTGGAGTTGAGTGACGGATCTGCGTGAATGCCGACAAGAATCCGAGAACAACTCGTGCCAGTCCCGTGGCGCAACGCATCAGCGCACCGAGAAGACTGGCTTGGGAGGAGGGGGGTCGGGCGGGGCGGGACACCAGTGATGCTCCGCCGCCGCATCTCGTTGCGTGTCGCGGTGACACGTGTTTTTCCAGTTGTGTGTGTGCACTGCACCTTCGCGTGGAAACAAGCTGGGTTCAAGGTTGAGGTGTGTGGTGTCTTGTGCTCGCCGTTAGTGCAAAACGCTTCGGTAGTTCCTTATTGGCTAAGGCTTGGTCACCGACCAGCACAGCACAGCAGAACCCCTTATGAAAAGCGAAAGCTGACGACAGCCGTAGCTTCTCCTGCTAAGGTCGTCTGCAAATCAAATGCACTAAACGAACTGTTCAGTGAAGTCGCAGCAAAGAAACGGGCCAAGAGCGACCAGCGTGTGCGACAACATAATGGTGCGTTGGCATTTTGGTTTGTCCATACGTACAGGCTCCAAGTGGGGTCAACGGAACTCATCCTGAGTATGCCAAACGAGCTTGTGCACGAAGTTTGAAGTTTAGCCTCTGTACAAGCATCCATCCACTGGACTTCACAAATTGGAGGGATAATTTACATGCTCTCAGTGTAGTATATTGTTTCCATTCAAACCAGAATTTATCATGCTGTCGGTTCTTATTGAATCGAACCGACATACATGCGGGCATTCTCACTCGCATTGCACATCGGATATATAATTCTTCCAAGGAAGCTTTGGAACTTTGCCTTGGTTTTCCTTCAATTTCTCATGTTTCACGAGATACCAGCTCAATAACAAGCTGGTACCAGATTTCAAAATGATGCAATATAATAACATAGATGGCGCATTATGTGGGAATGCGATCTAACTAAGAGATGATCAACTTGCTTGATTAGCATAGCACATCTAGATAAGAATCCATGCTTTTGCACACTTTGGCAAAAACCTGTGAAGAAGCTTCGCGTCGAGATACTAAGGAGAAACGTCCTAGGGGGATTTAGGGGTAGGTCGGTGGGTTGGATGACGGGACAGGGTTGGGGAGGCCAAGCGCAGCATCAGCCCATGAACGGAAAATCGCCCCGCGCTGGGCTCGGCGCTCTCTCCGGCGCTCCCTGCGGGCCTCCTTGTCCTCACGCTCGGCAGGAGTCAGGCCCGCGTCGTCATCTTGGTCGACATTAGCACCCGGAATGTTCGCAACATTTTCGCCAGGTCGCATCAGGGTGGTGGGGGCAGTGTTGCAGAGGAAATCAACCATGGCGAGACCCCTGCGATAAAATTGGCGAGTTACAAGTACATTCAGTACAGCCAACATAGTCGGAAGTACGTTTCTGGTGCAAAACCAAATTGATCAACCATGGTGGGCGCACCTGTTGTACTCGTGATAGCCGAACGCCTGAAGCATGCCGCGGGAGAAGGCCCAGATGACGTACGTCTCGCCGCTCAGGTTGATCGGAACTGTGCCGCCGTCCCCGTTGGTACGGGAGAACCTGTGGAAACGAGAGAAAATCGACATGGGTTTAGACGTGCGCATGTTCGATTCCTACTGCAAGGAAGAACGCCTATATCGGGTATTACGGGACGCTCTGGTGGACTTACTTCACCAGATAAGCAAGTCACTTACTTCACAACTGTGGACCCAGAAGCCGAGGTGGTGACGGACGGGTTGAGCCCGAGCGAAAACGTGCCGTTCACGAGCTCAGTCAGTTTGTAACCATCGAGGCGGTATGCCTTGATCCCGGGCATGTTACCAACGACAGCATCGGCAGGCGCCATGGCCCCGTTGTTGGACCAGCCAACGGAAATCCAGCTGTTCTCCGCGCCGCTGAGGCGCTTCGCCTCGAAAGCCATCTGGAACACGGGGCCGGGCAGAACCTTCCAGTGCAGCAGAATCCTGCCAGTGGCGAGAGAAAACAGAGAGAAGCGAGCAGACAGCATTAGGCAGGAAAAAGATGAACCTAACCGAGACATGAATGGTCGTTATGACAGATTCTATGGTAATACGGCATGATTAGCACCGCAGGTTATTGCAAGGGGAGAAAAAACGCGTACTTTCCGTCGTAAAGGTCAGCTTGATGGTCGTACTGGCCGAGCGTCGACACCGAGCACGACGACCCCACCGTCACCTGCGTATCCTGGACCGGCACCGGCGCAGGTGTTGTCGGCTGCATCCCCACGCCGCTGCCGCCATTGCACGAGAAGTCAACCTGGAAAGAGCCACTGCGAAGAGGAAAACGCAACCAGAAACTCGAGGTAAGCCGCAAGGGAAAGAGGAAAAAGTGCGAACTAGGCGGCGCAAAGTGAGACAAGGGCAGAATTGAAGGGAGTGCGGGCGTACCGTCTCTTGTCACCGTGGAAGGCGAGCGGCTTGGTGTTGTCGGCTGAGAACGCCCAGATGACGGTGACGGGCGCAGTCGTGGAGATGGGCGCAACGCCATCAGTGATGGACCTCGAAAACCTGAAAGCGTCAACCAGACGGAAAACATTAACGAACGTGTGCCAGAGTTACAGAAAAGGGTTTCTTGATGCAACCATCACTCTAGAGGCGAGGTGTGGAAGGGCTTACTTCATGATGAGGCTGCCGTTGGTCTTTGACACGAGGCTGGCGTCATCGCCGATCCACAGGTTCTTGTTGACCGTGATGGACCCCGCGTCGTATCCAGTCATCGAGTACGCTGCGATGGGCGAGTCGGGAAGGTTGCCAATGATTGCGTCAGCCGGCGACATCTTGCCGTCCTTGGAGAACCCCACGGACACCCATCCCAACGCCGCGCCGCTGCCGCGCTTCGCCTCGAACGCGATCTTGACGACCGTTGGGGAGACGACGGCCCAGTGCAGGACGTGGCCGTGCTTGGTGATTTGATGCGACGACGTGTAACCGGCCAGGTCGGACGGGTCGCAGGTGGCCGGTTGGGCGACGCCAGTGTCGTTGGCGGGCGCATTGGGGAAAGTCGGGGGCAACTGGTTTACCTGGTTGGGTTGCGCAGTGCCGTCATACGCGCTGGAGTCGGTCGCGCTTGTCTGCTGCATACCGGCCTTGGTGTCGTCGCCCGCGAGAGGGTCCCTGCCGCCCAGAGGGTCGTTGGGGTCGAACGACGGGCCCGCATTCGTGACCGACGGCTTCGGAGTGCCAAAGGGATCATCAGTGAAGACGTCCTGAGAGGCCGACACGGGGTTAGGAGTGGTGACGGGACTGATGGGAGTAGCAGGCTCGGGAGTCACTGGCTCGGGAACAGGCTCGGCGACAGGCTGGGGGTCCCTGGGCCGGGGGGTGATGACCGATTCGGGAGTGACGGTGTCGTAGTTGTTGATAAAATCTTTGTTGGTTCCTCCGGAACCGGCGAGGTCGTCGCGGGTTTTCATCTCCGCAGCGTGAGCGGAGAGGAGGGCGAACGCCAGAAGGAGAAGAGTCACGACGCCCATTGTGTGGCACGGGCGAGCCATGGCTTGGAGCTACCAGTGTCGAGGCGAAACGTAAACTAGAAGGTAGACGATCGCTGTGTATAAAGCGAATGACAACTGTCGATTGCTACCGATGTCTTGCTGCTTTCATATGTGCTGGACAAGTTAACCTGGGCCTATTTGAACTTGGGTCTCGTGAAAGTCGTTGGGCACTCTGAGACTTGTCTGGCAGGCACATGCAACTCGCGACGCGTGACCGACAAAAAACGTGGCCAAATTCATTACGCATCACATTAGTCAGTCAATGTGCCTGGACTAAGGATGTTCTCTGTTACTCCCTGACGGCGTGATTGAGCCCATGTCGCTTGATACACGAGCGTAGAAAATTGCGCATTCGAGCTTCGTGCCTGGGACTCAACATTCTGGAGAAGCTTGAGATTCTGAATGGACAGCTTTTCGTGCAAGGGGAGGGGGCTGGAAACAATGTGGCATCGCGACTCGGACTTGGCATCACCGACAGTGTAATTTTATCGCATTTCGAAACTCACGTAACTCGCCAAGCCTGAACTCAATGTCGCGGCTCGACTAATCTGACCAATCATCGCCAAGGCCGAGCCAGGAGGCGCAAACCCATCACGCACACGACAGCAAACACAGCAGATCTTTCGGTAAGTGGGCGCAACACCAGGAATGCCCTACAAAGGTTTCCGAGTACTTAGGGCGTGTCCTCTTCCTCGATCGATCCCTGACCTCGTTCAGTCGAGGACCACCTACAGTGTCGTAATTGACAGGGTAACAAAAATTTGAGATAGCTTGCGAATGTACAGTAAATGGTACCCAGCGATCTTGTCAACTAAGGTGATGACGATCGATGTGCCTTAGTGGCCACACCGATCTCGGCTTTTGTAGGATCGAGGGTTTTTCCCCCTTGTATTTTCGATCCTGTCACCCAGGGCGCGGGATCGATCCGCGACTGTCACCTCCTACCAATCCCTCCCCAAACCTGCGATCGGTGTGCCCGATCGGTTTTTCACTGCGATCTCGCGATCGATCGAGGGAGGGGGCGCGCCATGTCTCTCCACACCATGTACACCTTCTTTCGCGATAGTAGAGATTCTGGTTACAGATCTACACGAGTTTTAGAACGTCACCACGTTCAGAACGGTCTTGTCACCTACTGTACAAGCACAACGCAAAGAATGCAGTTAGATAAGGTGATGCACTTTACAAACAGCTTTAAGAACGTTTTCATTCGGTTGAGAAGGGTATACAGCGATTACGGAAACTGTACGCCCTTGAGCCAGTTTGTCTAGGAACGTTGAATGGCGCCAGATCGCAAGAGTCAGGTTCTGTAGCAACGAGTCGCGCAAGGTGAAAAGGATGAGAAAACGGGTGTAATGTACTTAATGCAAATATTCTGTTGCTAAGTGAGCGATAATTGCACTATCTAAGCAAAAAGTACATTGAGCGAAAGCACGAGCGAATAATATATAGCGAAATTACAGTGGTAACGGTAATGTGTGAAATGGGGTGCGCGACGGGCCTAGTGCCGAGGTTGGGAATTGTCGAGGCGGAGGTCTGGAGCGCGGGCACCAACCGAACCGTAAGGTTGGGTCGCGTCGTGAACGGTGGCATGAACAGTATCGAAGCGAGTGTCGTGAGTGGTACGGTTTACTGTTGAGTGCTGTTGGCGGGAACAGTGGTGTACGCGCTTAGCAGTGACCATGGCTAATTTTATCAGGGTTGTTACTGTTGAAATATAAATGTAACTGCCTGTAGCTGTAGTTTAGTGTAGTTATTATAACTTGTTGGTGGTGCAACTTCTTTGCATGCTTTGTTTGCTATTTGTACCTCGCTCAATAGTGAACTCATCCTCTTTTGGCAAACTCTCTCGACATGTTCCTCTCCAAGTCTCCTACTACCCCAAACCCTAGTCTTCACTTAATCTACTATTTTGACATGGTATTAAGAGCTGGGTCGTTCTAAGACCTACTTTTCTTTTTCCCCATGGGCCCACCACGTATCCCCCCGCTCATGGCGCTCGTCACGCCCCCCGTCGCGGCCGTAGTTACGACGGTTGCAATGGTCGCGACCGTCAAAACGGTCTCGGCGGCGAGCTGCGCGACGGCGTCAGATGCGGCCTCGTTTCGGCCCCCCGTCAGCGCCCTGCACGTCCGCGCTTCCTGCGCCCTGCTCGTCCCGTCCGTGGCGCCCTCCCCGTCGCGCCCGTTGCGCCCTGCTCGTCGAGCACCGCGCGCAGCTGCGTACGGCCGCGCATTGCTGCGCGCAGCCGCGTACGACCGTGCGCACCCGCGCACGGTCATGTGCGCCAGCACCAGCGCCCGTCGCCAGCACCTGCGCGAGCGCCAACGACGACGCCAGCGCCAGCAGCAGCTAACGCCGCCCCCCCCTTACCTTCCGCAGCTTCCGCCGTGGGGGGGGGGAGATGTGGGGGTGGCGTGTGTGAGTTGCCTGCAGCCCGTCCTTCCCCTCCCTTCAGCGGGGTCCGTCGTGAGGGGGGGGAGAGGTAGCGGGGGGAGGGTGAGGGGAAAGGGGGAGAGTGTGAGGGAGTGGAGAGAGATTCTGCCGAGCCAGCAGTCGCCCCTCCTCCTCTGTATCCCACTGCTGCACGTGCCGCCGTGGGAGGGAGGGTGAGATGGTGGCGGAATTCAGCTAGGCATTTGCAGCTGTCAGATTTATATGACATAGTTGCTGTAGGCTATAGTGGGGTAGCACATATGGGGTACAGGTTTTCTAGGGTTGTATTTGTACCCAATCTTTCCTTAGTCATTTCATTCCTGTTTTCTTTACTTCACATGGTATAGAGCGGGTCCTACCTTAGGACCGTTTTTTTAGGGCCCACCGAAGCGCGCCCCGAGGCGCGCCTTTTTTTTAGCGACCCCCTCGGGTCGCCTTTTCCCTCGCGGCCCCGCTGTCCCTCAGACGCGGCCCCGCCACCTCTCCTGATCGCGGCCCCGCCGCCTGTTTGACGCGGCCTCGCCGCCTACCCTGACGCGGCTCCGCCGCCTCCCCTGACGCGGCCTCGCCGCCTCCCCTGACGCGGCTCCGCCGCCTCTCCTGACGCGGCCCCGCCGCCTGTCTGACGCGGCCCCGCCGCCTCCCCTGACGCGGCCCTGCCGCCTCCCCTGACGCGGCTCCCCCGCCTCCCCTGACGCGGCACCGCCGCCTCCCCTGACGCGGCTCCCCCGCCTCCCCTGACGCGGCCCTGCCGCCTCCCCTGACGCGGCCCTGCCGCCTCTCCTGCCGGCCTGCCACTGCACCTGCCGGCCTGCCGCTGCACCTGCCGGCCCGCCACTGCACCCTACGGCCCGCCGCTGCACCTGCCGGCCCGCCACTCCACCTGCCGGCCTCGCCGCTGCACCTGCCGGCCTCGCTGCTGCACCTGCCGGCCCGCCGCTGCACCCTACGGCCCGCCACTGCACCCTACGGCCCGTCGCTGCACCTGCCGGCCCGCCACTGCACCTGCCGGCCCGCCTCTGCACCTGCCGGCCCGCCACTGCACCGGTTAACCCGCCGCTGCACCTGACGGCCCCGCCCCTGCATCTCCTGGCCGAGCCGCCTCAGCAGCCGAACCGCCCGTGAGCCGAGCCGCCCGACGCCGAGCCGCCCGGGACCCGAGCCGCCCTGCCGCCGAGCCGCCCGGGAGCCGAGCCGCCCTGCACCCGAGCCGCCCAGCCGCCGAGCAGCCCGGGAGCCGAGCCGCCCTGCGCCCGAGCCGCCCAGCAGCCGAGCCGCCCAGCACCCGAGCCGCCTTTCTGCATACCTACACGACCTGCCCTGCCTGGTGAGCACAGTCCCACTGACACTGCGAGCTCTTTCCCTGCTGCTAGCACTGCGTCGCTGTCGTCGCCATGGCTACCCCTAGTGTCCTAGCTTTTGACGCTGAGGGTCGCGCCATTGATTTTGAGGTCTGGTTAGACGACCTGCAGCTGTTCTTACAGTGCGACAGGGCTGACGACCTTTCTCTCTTTGATCTCACCTCTGGCGCCTCTCCTGCTCCTGCTGCTGATGCTGAGCCCGCTGTCCGCTCTAAGTGGGCCACCCGCGATGCTGCTGCACGTCTTGCTGTGCGTCGCCACCTCCCTACCTCTGAGCGTGCGCACTTCAGTCAGTACAAGAGTGCTCAGACCTTGTACGACGCTGTAGTTGCGCGCTACTCCTCCCCTGCCACTGCTGCACTGAGCCGTCTCATGCTTCCCTACCTCTTTCCTGACCTCTCTGCCTTTCCCACTGTCGCTGACCTCATTACGCACCTCCGCACTAGTGACACTCGCTACCGCGCCGCCCTTCCTGCTGAGTTCTGCGCTAAGAACCCCCCCCCCATGTACATCGCTCTCTACTACGTAGTCGCGCGCCTCCCTGACTCCCTTCGAGTCGTCAGGGACCACTTTCTCGCAGTCTGTCCCACCACCCTCTCCGTCGACCTCCTCGAGAAGGCCCTCCTCGCAGCGGAGAAGAGCATCGTCGCTGTAGGTGCTTCTCGTGGTGACCCTCGCACCCCCATCTTTGAGGGGTGCTCTCCTTCCCCCTTGCTGCCCTCTGTTGCCTCTGCTGCTGCTGCCGACCTGCTTGGTCTAGAGTCGGTCGGCGCGGCGTCTGCCCCTAGTGGGAGACGTCGCTCCAGCAAGGGCAAGGGGGGCAAGGGCGCGGGTGGAGCTGGAGGGGGCGGTGGCGGTGGCGGCGGTGGCGGCGGAGGGAGTGGGGGTGGCGGCGGGGCTAGTGGCGGGGGTGGTGGTGGTGGTGGCAGCAGCGGCGGAGACGGTGGTGGTGGTGCCAGCGGTGGTGGTGGAGGCAGCGGCGGAGGTGGAGGCGGCGGAGGTGGAGGCGGTGGAGGCGGCAGCGGAGGAGGCAGTGGTGGTGGAGGGGGTGGATCTGGTCGGGGTGGTACCCAGCAGCGTAGCGGCGGTGGTGGTGGCCAGCGCTCGCAGCGGCAGCAGCAGCAGCGCTCTCGGGACATCCCTTCGCCTCAGCAGCTTCGTGAGTGGTACGCTGGGCGTCAGAGGGGTGGGGGTACTGGTCCC